AGTTCAAGAACGCCCTCTTCAAACATTATGAAGAGCTGAACTGTTCGAAAGAAAAGTGAGGACAACGAAGTTGTTTGTTGCCATAAATTTATTAAACAAACAGGAGTGTGTGCACCTGAAAAGGCACCAGGAGCAGGACATCATATGGCTTCCCAGGCGATCCAGCACAGTTCCAGAGTGATGGGTGTTATGAGGTGAAACACTGCGTAAACTGTTCCTGTGGGTAGTAACATATGTGTTGGCCCATACTCTTGCTAATGTAATGTCAAGACTGAAAATTTAGTACACTAGTGTAGTGCACGAGTATGGATGAACTTTGAAAGAGCTGGTTCCATAAATAAGCAAACAAAGTAGTGATTTTTGGAAGCTGAAACACAATCAGTTGTTTTATTGGATAGCTATGAAAGAAATTTTCCTCAGACCACAATTCCACCACAAACAGTCATTCCCAGCGTGAAAAAAACGCTCAGAAGTTTTTACTGGGAACAAGGTTGTGTTGCTCTTGAAATGTAAGATATCAGAAAGGTAATTTCATTTGCTGATCCACGGTGTCACACAAGGCAACCACCGAGGAAGTAATTGCCTACCTAAACTGCGAGAGAAAACTGCAGTACTTGATAGCTTGCGGTACGTGTGTCAGTGAAGTGAGAGGCTTGTCACACACCTGATTTTCGGATTGTGTTGTGCTGGGCTCTGCCATAAAAAAAGAGCAGCACGGCAGAGCCTGGGGGAATGGCACAGCCAAAAGCAGGTGTGTGATATACCTTTCATAGCATGCAGGCCACATGCTACCCAGCATTGCAAACGGCTAGCGGAGAAACTTGCAAAATATAGCCCTCGCTCAAATGCTCCATGCTGCTTTAGGTGTATCTCAGTAGCTGAGAGCATCTTGACTATCAAACATAACTACCTGATGTGGAGCCTGAATCTGTATCCCTTATTAATGTTTGTGTAGCAAATGAGTCCTCCGGCCGGTTGCCCAGAGGTGACATTATCCGCCTAGGAATGCGATGCTCAGTGCACGGATGGGTTACCAAATCTCACTTGTAATGATCAATGCACAGAAGAGATTCCTCTCCTTGTTCAAGCCAGCATTGCTCAAGTCCCACGTAACACAGGGGACCTTAGCACCTCTGCTCCAAAGTCATTAATCAAATTTTGCAATTCTTTGCAATGGGGATCGGGGCTCTTTGTTTTCATACAGTGCCTGCTGCAGCGTGGTCCCGAGCTGTGCCACTGTAACAAAAGAAAATATAAATTTCCCTTGAGTTCTGTAATTAGATTAAGGTGTGTATAAATAGTTATAAATGTAGAGGATCTTAAGGAAACATCTAGAGCAGAACCTGGTACCTATACTACCATTCACAATATTAATTATGAAAGCTGATAGGACTTTTCAAATCCAATATGCCTTCTAATTGATTGTTTTGCAGCTACAGATGCTTGGGCAATAAAATACACTGAACTCAAATTCACCAGCTCCGTGCTTTCAAAAACTGCTTGTCAAGAGCTTGAAATTCCTGAGTTGACAGCAGGGGTAAAAAACTCCAAGTATTGATTTAGAACCTAACTCATTTAAAAAGCTCTTTTGGAAAAACAAACAAACAAACAAACCCTTCTATACACAAGTTACACAGAAACATTTTAAATGTTACCCTAGATTTTATTGTCACTTACTGTGGGTATCTAATTTGGAGTTGCAATTTCTTGAACTTACCTGAAAAACTAGCTAAAGCAAAACCTGTTAGGCTGCTAAATCCTCTTTCCAATGCAAACTGTTTGACACTTGATATTTTTGTCTAAGTATGAAAATTGGAGATAATATTTGCTTCGGATAAGTTTATGAAGGGTATGCATTGATTTTTAAGGACATTAAAGGTGACAAAAAGATAAACTTACTTACATTACATGTACTTTTAGTCACTAACTTTTCAAACAACCAGAAAACACCTCCCTAGCCAGGTTCTATCAGGGGAAAAAAACACTTTTGGAATAAGCCCAGGCAATTTTCACTTTCTAATCCCAAATCCCTGAATTATCTCAGTCCTTTAATTCCTGTGTCAAATCTGAAATGTATTAAGCTGGGCTAATAATTCTGCTTATCTCATAGGGAGAAAGGTAGAGAGCCCTTGGGACAGACTGGCTTCTGACTGGGCAAAATCCAGCGCGGTGGCGTTAGGGGTGGCCCAGGCACAAGTGCCGTTGTCAGTGCACAGAGGCCCTCTGAGGAAGCTCCGTGATGTAGGCACATGGAGCATCCGCGGATGCTCTCTGTCACACCTGATGGAGCATAGAAGGATTTGAAAGCACATTTTCCAGAGAAGACCCCTACTTAGCTATTTGTTGCTGTTGCTTGAACCATCTTCTCCAGGTCAAGGTATATCTACTTCCAGTAGAAAAGTAATTACTGAACACCTTAGGCTGCAGTACCCTTGTTCCTCTGTAGTCTGCCACAGTTTGGGTATTGGGAAAAGACTTGCTTTCTCCCCAAGCCAAGAGCTTGCAGCCCCCCTACTGTCACCTCTGTCATGGCTGTGAAGCAGCAGTGCTCCCCCATACACCTACTCCGGGGCAGAGAGGCTGACGGGTTGGTGGCCACCAGGGATCCCTGGGCAGGGCTGCAGGGACATCATCTGGAAATTGGGATGGACCTATTTAATGAGGTCACTGAGCTACTAACTAGAAACTAAGCCTGGAACTATACGTATTACTCCTGGGAAGCCCCAAAACATCAAAAATAAATTAACTCCATTTAATGGAGAAGCAAGCCCTCCCTCCCCCACCCCTCGTGGCAGTAGATGTGCCCGTCAGCTGGCGCTGCAACGAATACATTTTCCATGTGTGACACCTTTCAAGGGTCTCTTTTCTTGCCTCTGCAAAGTTTCCCCTAGCACAGGGGAAACAGTATATACCCAACAAATGAGAGATGCTCCCAACTTAGAGTTACGGCAAAACTGGCAAACAAACATCATACATGGGGAACTGCTCCGTTTACTACCAACCTGAGACATAAGGCGAGGGAGAATGAGGTCAGGGATCGATGTGAGGAGCACATGCAATCAAAAAAGCTCTTGTTCAGTAGCCACATTCTCCTTTGAATGTGGCTACAAGTTGAGAGTTTCCTTTCCACCACTTACACAGCCTCAGGACTTAATTCATGGTTATGGTGGAGCCCTCATGTTTTCTGAACTGTGCCATAGTGTTTGAAGCGGATGGGACTCGCCCCCTTAAAAGATGCAGTACAGCCAGGAGATGGAGAGCTGGAGTGCTCTAGTTGGGGAGGACTGCTTACAGTGCCTGGGTAAATCAGCCTGTTGGGCTTGAAACGCACCCTTCCCGCTGCACCTTCCAGGTGTACCCAGGTGTGCCGCCCAGAACAAAATCTGTCCCTATTTCTTGCTCTGTGCCTGTACAGAAAAAGAAACATTGCTTTCCTGTCACAGTGCAGCTTTGTGTCAGCTGCTGTGGAGGAGAACCCCCCCGGCCCCCCAAACCCAGAGATGGGAACGGTCAGGGTAATTACCTGGGAAGGGCATTAAAGTCAGGGGGCAGGGGGGGACAGAATCTCCCTGGGGGCAGGCAGCTCCTGTGGCCCCCGGGAGACCCTCCTGCAGCATCAGCAATGCGGCTACGGTTTTCCTGCCGGGGCGGGAGGCAAAGCCGGCGTGTCTGGGAAGATCCCAGCCGTGCCTCGGAGGAAAACAGCGCTCCTTGCCTCGCACGCAGCCCTGCTTGGGGGAGATTCGGGGCTGGAGAAGGCGATGCTCCCTGGAGTATCATGGTGTGGGGAGGGCTGTGGGCCCGCAGCCCCCTGGAATTGGCAAAGCCTGGTGTGTGAGTAGCTGGGCCTGTCTGGTCGCCGCTGGGGACAGCCTGCCTGGGCTCTGCGAAGGGAAAGGCAACTTCCAAAAAAAAAAAGAAGCCAAAACAAAGCAAGCCCCAGAAAGCAACAGTAAAACCCAAGCGAGCCCTGGCTGAGCAGCAAACCTGAGACATGGGCACTGCCATCGCACTGAGTGAGATTGGGTGGGCGCGTGGTGAAGGCAGAGGCCAAGGGAAAGCTTTTTGGGGGTATAAGGAGGGTGGGAGGGTAGGGTCTGGCAGGGAGCCACCCCAGCCTTAAGGGGAGACCCTGGGTGGCAAATGGGGAGATGTTCTCCAGGGGTGGGCGCTCCCCAGCATCCCTCCCGGTGCTGCCTCTCCCCCTGCCCCCCACCCTGCTGCTTGGGGGAGCAGATGGGTGCCCCCGGCCAGCGTGGGGCTCCTCCACCCTGCGTGTCGTGGCTCCCTAAGGACGGCCGTGCCCCCCCCGGGCCGCGGGGCTCTCAGCCCCACAGGGACGGTGCGGGGATGAGAGAGCTACGGGTGCAGCGGGGTCCGGCCAGCGCAGCCCCGGCTCCGGGGGCCCCCCCCGGCTGC